CAGGCTGGGAATCCATATTTGATATGAGTATAGCACACAGCTTGGTTATGTGAAATCATCGTCATGAATATGGGTAAAACAGAAACTCCCTTTATAATATACACGTCCACTCCTACCTGTTTATTTCTCTCTCTCTCTCTGCTGTCTTCACCCTGCTCTCTCCCTTTCTCACCCACACTGTTATCCTCTCTCAGTCTTTGTGCTGTAACCCAAAAGTTAAATGTAACAAGGAAACACAACTTACAAACGAATAAAAGGCATAAACTGCTCCATTTCAATTTATAACAATATTCAGACTGAAAGCAGGGTGCTACTGAACATGAACTGACCAGGATCAGGATCGGTACTGTAAACAAGCAACAGGACAGGAATAGAAATGTTTTAACAAACTAAAATAATAAAGTACATCAGCTCATTTGCTGGTAATACCAGCAGACTAGTGGCTCAGAAAGCTAAAATTAGCTAATAATCTCTAATGATTTAGGCTACGACACCTCTGACATCAGCAATACTGCACAGTTTTCATTCTCTCCTGACTCCAAGTTGGCAAAATATAACATTAGAAGAATGGCAATGTCAGAAAATAATACTAACATACATTATCATTACTACTATTACTATAATATTATACTAATATATATAGTAAAGGGAAAGGTCTATACTAGACCTCAGACCCGCCCCTTTCCTGATGAGTGCACCAAGTGCCCTTTTCTTGAGGCATTTTTAATTAATTAATTTTTTTGTAATTTGTGTGTGCATGTGGAGTCCTGCCTTTGCCCCTCAACAGTATCATTTAACTATTAGTCATAATTTAGCTAAATAAAAGGACCTGGCTTGCATCAGTCACATGACCACCATTTACCAATGCTCACCCTTGACAGCAGAGTGCGCTGGTTACGAGCCGGAAACAAACTCAGAAAGAGCACGTGCATTTTTTGCCACCTGGGCGGTGTGGAGCTGTAGGGGAAACACTAACTAATTAAGAGACACAAGCTGATGCAAAGGAAACCAGTAAATAGGGTGTACAGCCTTTACACTGTAGTCTGTACGACACAGGAGTAGTAGGTCATTATGTACACGTTGGTAAGTTGTGTTGTGGCAACTGATGAATTGACACAAATGAGCGTGCTGTGTGTGCAACAATCATTACCTGTCCTTTTATTAGCTTTACAAGTAGTCTGGTCATTAGCTGCCAGCTAACTGGGTAAGGGTGTGATGGGTCTGTAGCTCTGTCCACCGTTTTAGTGAACATATTTACCTTTAATTAAGTTACAGGGCTTTCCCTGCATTTCTGGAGGGCTTACATTTCACTAAAACTGATCTAACATGCATATCCACATAATTATGGATTTATATTTAGGCCATAGTACTGTAAATACAGAATTCTGGAGAAGGTATAAAATGTCACTGCACGTGTCTGTCCCTCACCAGATGGATTAAAAAGGACACAGGTAACAATGACACATGCACCAGTTGTTGCATTGCAGAGGTATTCAAGTACAACAACTATAATAAACACAATTGCAATGTTTTGGTTCTATAACATTTTTCTATCATTACTTTGTCATGGACTCGGTGCAAGACTTGTTAAGTGTGGACAATTAAATAATAGATTAATGCAATAGCAAATTATGCCTAGTTCTCAGATGGACAGCAAGTAGAGAGTGATAGATGAAATGAGATGGAAGGAGGAAGAGAGGCGAAGAGTGAATCAGAGTGAGTTTATTTCCCACAGTTTTTTTTATTCTTGCCTTATGATTTCAAGCACTGTCACCAATCTTTGCATTTTAATATTATCTCATAGCACTTGTTTAATCAGCTACCATCTCTCCTATGGACTTTTTAACACCTACAGTCTCAAAGCAATAGAGCCCTGCCTTCCAGCACTATCAGCAGCAGGAGGACAGCAACATTGTAACCCATCAGGTAAAACATCGACTAAAATAGTCATTGTTTTTTTATATGGTGCATCCTTTCAGTTCATCCTCTGTACAGAATACTTTATTCTGATTGGCTGATTCCTTAATATGTAACTTGTATATAGACTATATAGACAAAAGTACTGGGTCACCCCTGTTTGCCCATGAAAACCCATTCCACGAAACTCCCAGCACACAGGTTTTGTGCTGATGTTAATGCTCTGATTCGGTGAACTCTTTAAAGCAACTCTTCCTTTCACAAATGCTTGTAAAAAACAAACTGCATGGCTAGTTGCTTGATTTTATACACCTGTGTCAATGGGATTGAATTCAGACAGCTGTCGAATACTGTTTCCATATAATTTAAGACAAGATATTGTAATATTATACACATGACAGCGTACATACTGACTGGAAAGCTGTACAAATAAAAGCAGAATTTAGTGTTAAAGTTTTTTTTCTGGAAATTATCTGGTTAAAGGAAATTCTAGGTGCATTCATTACAGTCATTCTTCCTGTGACCAAAACATGTAAGTAACTGTCATCTGTGTTTGGTTAAAGAACCAGAGGGGGTGGTTGTAATTTAAATCATTTTGCAGCTGGTGGAATATTTTTCATGTGAGATGCACAGAAAATGCTTTGAGGCATCTGGAAACATTTAACTTTTTTCTGTTTATTTACTGAGGAAAACGGATGCTTCGTGAGTAGCTGCGTGTCGAGTATAATCATGCATATTATATAATAAGCTTCACATATAAAACTATGTTCACATGTCACTGCACTTCTTGGTTTTCATGTCTCCCTCTGTGTGTCCTTTCAGCAGTATCTTTTTATATCTTGGCTCTGTTTTCTTGATGTGTTGCCATGAGTTTAGCACTCTGCAGTCTGTCAGACGCAAGATTCCTTAAAGAGGAACCCCATGCCTCTCTGATCTCCATCTACCCGTCCTGCACAAAGGCCTGTCAAAAGAGGCCCATTGATCGGAGGGCAAATAGCCCTGTTCTGCCCATACAGTGGTGCGTAATCCCTCATATATTCAGGCCACTCATCCATTCCATCCTCGTCCTCCTCGTCTTCATCATCATCTCCTTCCTTTTCCCAGAGCGATGTGGGGACATGCTGGTACACCCTGGTGTCCTCACACTCCATTCCTCTGTGGTAAAAGTAGCTGAAGTTGGACACAATGACAGGCACGGGCAAAGAGATGGTGAGCACGCCAGCAATGGCGCACATGGAGCCCACCAGCTTTCCCCCAACTGTCCCTGGGCACATATCGCCGTACCCGACTGTAGTCATGGTCACGACTGCCCACCAGAAAGCCTCGGGGATGCTTTTGAAGTTTGTTCCAGAACTGTCCACCTCAGCGAAGTAGACGGCGCTAGAAAAGAGTATGACGCCGATGAAGAGGAAGAAGATGAGCAGCGCAAGCTCTCTCAGGCTGGCCTTCAGCGTCTGGCCCAGGATCTGGAGGCCCTTGGAGTGACGAGAGAGCTTGAAGATCCTGAAGACTCTCACTAACCTGATGACTCTGATGAGAGCCAGAGACACGGAGGGCTGCGTATCTTTGTCCTTTGCTAGCTCCGTGCCCACCGTGACAAAATAAGGCAGGATGGCGAAGAAGTCTATGATGTTCATGATGTCTTTAAAGAAGTGCATCTTGTTGGGAGCACTAATGAAGCGCATGATGAGTTCAAATGAGAACCAGCAGATGCAGATTGTCTCTACTATGAAGAATGGGTCCTGGAAGGCAGTGAATCCAGGTGAGACCAAGATGGTCTTGTTTGATATGTTGGGGTGAGGAGCGATGGAGTATTGCTGCAAGATAAATAAGGAAGTAGAAGAGATTAAACTCAAACATTAGATTAAAAGAAAAATCAAAGCATATAACCTGCACTGCCCATAAGATTCAACTTATTTTCACACGCTCGTTGGTTTGGAAGAAGAAATAGGAGAATAGAGAGAGAGGAAAGGTAGGGCAGTAGTAAACAGCTCCATGGAGATGATGTTTGCATGAATGTAAACAGAGCGAAATCAAGAAGGACAGAGTAAACATAAGGAGGAAAGTGAGAAGTAGTGATTATTATCAAAGTTTGTCCTCAGCACATTTGAAGTATGACATCTGTCACCAGGATCTTGTGAGATCTCTGATACGGTGCTAAATCCTCTCTCCTCTCCATCTTCGCTCTCTTAGTTTTAATGCTTTTTTTTCCTCTCACAGACTTTTATAAACCAGTTTCTCTATATTTAAACATAAAACATCAAGTTCATGTGACTCAGGATTGTATTACAGCCTCCTGACACTTTATTTAACCCAGCTGCTTTTTTTTTCTGGGAACAAGGTGCACGTTTGGAATAACTGGA